ACGCTTTTGAAGCTTTTCTCCAAGGAAAAGGGTAAGTGTGCGTGTATGTGTGTGGTTTTCAAATACAGGAAGATCCTCACCCAACTGCATGAATCCAGGACCTGGGGTGCTACATAAAGCCAACAAACAGCCCACAATAAAAACACTCGGAGTTTTTTTCCATTTCTGTCTTGATTTCAATACCCTCCTGACCCAATGCTTCCTCTCGGGGGGGGTCTTTGATGCACCTCCCTACTTTGCCTAAATATTGAGCCTCAGGATCCATTTCTAAAGAGATTTTTTTGTGTGTGTGGAGAATGTAATGGCAGGAGAGGAGGTGTCTTTCTTGAGACTACTGCCCGAGTCCTGTTTTTCTAGATAAAACTGTTAAGGTGCTAAAATGGTATTATTCTTCATTAAGGACAAGAAAGAGAAAGCACACACCGAAAGCGAACATGGATACACTGAGCAAACCTTTGGGTGGACACAAGAGTATCTACTGATCTATAAACATACGTGGACACATGGTACACATGCAAAAACTTTACTTCCAATAAGCCATCTAGAAGAGAAAGACAATCCTGTTTTATGTGAGCTCCATGAGAAAGTAATTTCAAATTCAACGTTTAAGCCAGTCAGTTGTGAACTGCTGACTACAACGATCTGAAGTTATGAGATGCCAACAGCTGGCTGAATTTAAAAGGGTAGCTGCAACTCAGTAAGCTAATGGCTAATCTTTCATCTTCCTACCTACACACAGCATGCAACCATCTTAAAAATGTAAAGATTGTCCCAACTCCTTCATCAAGCATGCAACCATCTTAAAAATGTAAAGATCGTCCCAACTCCTTCATCGTGCATAATAATTCCTTCTTTGTAAAATATTCAGAGGGCTTCAGAAGGCTGAAGCTCTGGCAAGGGAAAAGGATGAGTGTATGTTGCATCTGCAGAGAAGCAGGAGAGGAAGAGGAGAGGACACCCTACTTCCATTTTCATAGAAAACCTATTTAAAATTTACTTGACTTCCTCAGTTAATTCATCTTCTTCCAGCAACTTTAATCCTTAAATGGTTATTGTTAAAAAGAAGTTTGTATTCCCTCAAAAGACAAGAGCAAAAGAAAATGACTTTGTCATATCTGACTGGTTCAGAAAATATAAAATCCAATTCTGAAGGAGTGCAGATAAGGGAAGAGCCATGGAAGAGCCATCAGCTTAGCAAACACTAAATAATGAAGAATGCAGAGACTGCCCAGCATGATAAAACACTCTATTAGCAAGACTGTTTTTAAATGAGTGATAATTGTGGCACATCCGCAGCAAACGGTTGTTGAATTTTTATCTCTAGGACGGGGCCTTTTGACAGCCTAACCAAAAAGCCACCAACAGGTAGCCCCCTTTTTAGGATTTCCCAAAACATGTCCATACCTGCCCAACTCCACCTTGTCGTTTCTGAATACTTATAGCTATGCCTAGAAATTGCCCATTCGCAGCCAAGGAAGCTTTGCTGGAAAAGCTACTGACTTTCTACAGGGAAGGAATACAGGGCCACCACCACCATGTCATGGACTTGTTGGAGATTACAGTATTTCTGGCATTGCACCGAGAATTCTGGTCCCAATCGCTCCCCAAGAGCTTTGATGATGCCCTGAGTGGGACCAAGATTTAATCTCAAGTTGCTGGGACAGAAAAAAGAAACCATCAAAGACCTGGACGTGTGTTCTCATCATGCATTGGCCCAACATGTGGTAAGCACGGAAGATAAAACCCCACCACCGCTACCAGTTAATGGCATTACTGCTCTTGTTCAAGCATAGACACTTCAATGTAGCATCTAGTCCAAGGAGAAAAATAAAGCAGAAGACAGAGTTGCTCAAAGGAGTGTAACAACTGCCGTCTGCCCAAAGTCAGCTACCCAAAAAGCGAGCTGGGTGACTAACGGCCCGTTGACTTGCATATGATGAACCACGGATTCCAGTTGCATTGACCTGGAACGCTTGGGTTTCACGTGGGCATGTCTTAAAGTCAAAGTTACCGATGCTGAAATGACAAAGCTGGCTGCACTTATGGTGATCTGAATCTGAATTTGGTGAGCTTCAGTGCGTGGCAGAAACCCCCTTTCTTTAGCTTTACTTTTGGTCAGTTATTTCCCTTCCTCCCTCCCTCCCTCCCCCTGATGCTCATTAACATGCTGTGGCTTCCAGCAATGAGATACTCAGAAATTCAGATGATCAAACCGCGACAGGAAAGAACAAGATAACTCGTATGACAGTTGAGCATTATGGCATTAACATGGTATGAATCTTTGAACCAATAGGTAGTTTTAATTCTTCCTCCTCTCAGCTCAGTCCGAGCACATTTGCATTGCTCTTCTCCCCCTGTCCAGGTGGGATGGAAAGAGACATCTCATTTTTCCTCTGTTGTTTATTCTTCCTATTCTTCTCCAAAAGAATTGCACTCCCCTGTATGTCATCGTAGCTTGCTGGATTTGTAAATACATCTGACTTGTACCACCACCTCTGCCCCACGGCATCACTTTTACTTCTCTCATATAGGTTGCAGTCAGCTCTACTGATGTTCCATTTATGAGATATACTCCACCAGGTTTCATTTATAACCATGAGGTCAACACCCTCTATCATTTTCTAATACTGCTCGTTCTTCCTCTTGTTTCAGATACTCCTGGCATTTGTGTACAGACATTTTAGTGCATTGGTATAAAGTTATTACAAAGGAAGATGAATTTTTATTGTCAGGAGGATGCTGCCAAGTGAAATATTACACTTCGTACTTTTATGTTTATTCACTGCTGCATGTAATGTCCTCTCAGAAGCCTGAAAGTCACGCTTATGCCCTTTTATGTTTGGAAAATATTGATTTATTAAAAAAATTGAGTTTCAACTAGAACTGAAATTATAAATGATGTTTTTATTTTTAACATCTTTGACTGTCAGAGCACACCTCCTCAGCCCCAAGAACTCTCCCGGTAACTAAAGTTCTGTGAATAAATATTTGGCTACTGAACTTTGATAGCATTTTCCATTGGGTTTTATTTTTTTTTATAATCTTCTGAAGTACACCCTGGGAGAGCACAGCAATTCTTCTTGTCACTCAGGTATTGAGAACTCAAAGTATGGGTTACAGGAATATTAAAGCTACCCGTAGTATTTTGGGTCTTTAATTGTTAGCTGATTGTATAATCTTAATTATCCGGTCTCTTCTCCCAAGTAACAAGCGATAGGACGAGAGGAAATGTCCTCAAGTTGTGCCAGGGGAGGTTTAGATTGGACGTGAGGAAAAATGTCTTTACTGAAAGAGTGGTGAAACATTGGAACAGGCTGCCCAGGGGAGTGGTGGAGTCCCCATCCCTGGAGGTATTTAAAAGACGAGTAGATGAGGCACTGAGGGACATGGTTTAGTGGACATGGGGGTGTTGGGTCGATGGTTGGACTCGATGATCTTAGAGGTCTTTTCCAACCTCAATGATTCTATGATTCTATGATTCTGGATCCCAACAAACTGATCGCGGACAGCTGGAGTAAACAGTTTAAAGGTCCTGCTCTAGAGCAGAGTTATAAACCATAGGAAGGATTGTCAGTCAACCAGAGATGCTCTGCTGTCGAGGGACAATTATTTTAACGGCGATAAAACACTATGACTTTATTTTGCACCAGCAAATTTCCCCCATCACTTCCCAGAAAATAAGGCTGAGGTGATTTTCAATGCCAAATTCCCACGAGAGCTCAGAAGATCTGGCTGCCCACAGTCCTGCGCCTCTGTGGGTACCTTCCCCCAGGACTCTGCTCCCCATTTGCAAGACAAACTGCAGAAATGCCATGTATCCTCACTACGTCCCCATGTGTCCTGGGATCCCACCAAGCTGTGCGGATTTTTTTACGCGGTGCTTTTCTTCTCCTCTGCTCCTCACCTACAGCACAGCGTAGATGCCTCCTTCCACACCCGATGCAGCTGCATTTAATATAACCCCTAGACAACAGGGGATGTTCAATATTTGTAAAACACACAGTATTTTATTACAGGGATCTAGGGCAATATGAAGTGCTCTAACAAATGCACGGCCACCTCCCCAGGGTCAACCTGTGACACAAAATAGCTATTGGGAATGTCTTGGTAGGCAGGTGAGACCCAAACTCCTGGTCCTAGGAGAAGCTTAACCCCATGTCAGCTGAGCTACAGGTGACTCCTCACAAGTTAATAACAGTGGAAGGGCATCAGTGGAAAGCAGCAGAGCTGAGGTCTGTTTATGCCGAGCTCTACTTCTGGGGCACAGCCACAACCGTCCTCTGAACACGACCCCGTGCAGACAACGCCAATGACAACGATAAGAAGAGAAGCAAACACTAATCACGTCTCTAGCACTTTCCAGACAGAAAAAATCACTATTCCCCAGGGGAAGGAACGAAAACTGAAGCACAGAGAAGCGAAATGATCTCACAAAGGTAGTGCAGGCAATCCTAGACAGCCAGGAACAGAACTGGTGTCTCCAGGCTCCCCTGTCTCTGCCTTCCTGGCACCTCGGTTCACCAAGGGTTCCTTCTGCCTTTGCAGGCTGAGCATCTGTGCCCCAGTGACGTGCACGTTAGGGCATTCCTCATTAAGATCTGTTCAATTTCTCTACTGAATTTATAATACACATATATTTTTAAATATTCAGCAATCTAGGATGCTTTAAAGAAAATGAAACCTGTCTTGGCACCGACACCTGCTCCTGTGCAATGTCATTAGCAGGGACTGCTGAAAAGCTCAAGCATTGAAAGACCCGTCAGAGGTTATACCAGAAGTGATGCTCCTGGCACCCTCACGTGGTGCCCACCACAGTCTGAGCAGATGTCACACCACAGCATTGACTAGGAAGAAAGAGATGGAACTGCTTTGCTTTCTACTTCCCTCTGACATAAACCCGCTTTGAAATCGAGAACAAAAGATGCCCACTCCTGCTAAAATCGCGGATTTATGCTGGTTTCCATTTCTAAGACAAAGGTTCTCCTGTGGGAGCTACTTACTCTGGGTGGATGAGAGGTTGGAGAAGGCTGCCTTGGTGCGACCTGCTAACCACTCCAGGCTCTCGTGCATGTTGGCCAAGGCCTTCAGGTCGCTGACGTCCCTCAGGATCTCCTGTTGAGGGATGAGTTTATCTCCCAGGTTGCCAATGAGAACTTCTGACTCTTTGCCGAAAGCAGCCCTGAAATGCAAACCAAAGCCACCCTCAGAAATACAGCACAGGACAGCAAGGGGAAGACATGAGTTACACTGTGGAGAAGGTCAAACCAGCCAATGTAGAACTGTTCCAGCGTGGGGTCTCAAGAACGTTGTCTGGTGGAGTTTTTGAAGTCTTGTTACAGTGAATAACACCTCTATCTCAGGGAGGTTTTTTTCTGTCCTTCTCCCTGCATTTACAATCTCTGAATTTCACTTCATTCCTCATAGTTACAAACGTCATCCCAATCAGCTCTCACACCTCTTCGCCCCACCCAGCATTTACACCTTGCTGAGACATGCAGGTGCTTTCCGTGTCACCCTGGGATACGTATAAATAATGCACATGCAGTACTTTTAATCTTCCCTTGTAAATCAGCTCTTCCAATCGCTGATTCACTTTTTTTTCACACATCTATCAAAAGAAATCTCCTGTGAAACCTGATGGCTTATCATGACAAAGTGACAAACAAATGATTTTGAATATCAGTCCGTGCATTATTTTACTGGCACAGAGATAGCACCGTGAAAAATGATGACCAAGACAAACGTGTTTACCCCCAAAAAGCTGAAAAAAGTTCTTTCAAGGTGTGTAACTGCTCACTCCACTGTCACGTTCCATCTTTTGCATTCAGATTTAGCTTTCCCGACACTTGTCTCCATGAAGAGCACGTTTGGTTTTATCCCAGAAGTATTTGCATGGCAAATATTCTCATTGCTTTTGCAGGTAAAGGAGGAGACTCCGGCATGACTTTTTGTGTACCATCAGGATGGAGAAAATCAGGACACGGTTTCTACATCTAATTACAATAGCTCCTGGCTGAAACCAAGTGCATTTCATTGAAAGACTCTAAGTGACAGCACATTTGCCATGGTCCTCAGTACACTCTTCCCATCATTAGTTGCTCTTTTTGTTATGAATTTGCATTCCACTTTCATTCAACTTTGCAAATCTCCACTTCCTGTCATTAGCTCTTTTATGAACTTACAATGAGGAATCATGCTGCTGAGCATAATAGCTGCAACGAGCTGCAGCAAAATAATCCCATCAGTGGCATTTTATATACTATCTAAGCAGTTTTATTGCCAGCGTCTCCCTAGATTTGTGGGACTTCACTGTCACTTGAGGAGAAAAAAAAAAAAACCACCACCCTGAAATGGTTTTAAATTGCTCAATTGAATTCATCAAAGGCAAAAAATAAAAATAGCCTTCATTAAAAAAAGTCTCTTCGAGGATTTTCTTCTGCTTGACAACAAAAAATATGCTGCCTTAGGCTGTATCCCGCATGCTATGGCTTGGGAGGAATCCTTATCTGTTGGCTGTGTCTGAGGACTGAGACAGAGGAACATCTCCAACTCCAGTGGACTATGGCAGTGGTAATTCAGCTGTTCTTCCTCTCTGTAAGATGGGCTTAACTTTGATCCACTCTGGCTATTGAAAATAGATTAAATCCTTTCTGAACCTCAGGAAAGCCCTTAACAAGCCCCCCTGACTGGGCATTTCTTAGATAGTCATAAGAGGCTACAAAGCTTTGGAGAGTGAGGACAGCTGAGCGACTCATCCAAAGTCCAAATGGGCGTTTGAAGGTGAATACAAGGTTGAACCGGGTGGACAAGCTCATAGCCGGGCTAGACCATTTTTTTTTCGGCAGAGCACGATCATTCTTTCAAGTAAAACACGTTATTGACTTCTACAGCAAACATGAAACACTTCACTTGGCTCTACCCCCCCACAAACACTCAGATAACCTCACCTGTTCCTGTGGAGCCAAAGATTTTTCATAGATATGCTTTTTCCCCTCTAACCAAACCACTCCTGTTGACTTAGACTATCAAATCCCACTGGCAACTGCATCAATCTTGGCAGTGTTAGGTTTGCGGTTGGACTCGATGATCTTCAAGATCTTTTCCAACCTAAATGATTCTATGATTGTATGATTCTATGATAATCACTCAGAAAAATAAGAAATGAAACATCTGGTGAATTTCTACCTTCGTTAACACGGCTTTGCAATACAAAATGCCACAGAAAAAGCACTTCTTTGGGAACCACAATTTGAGAGCTGTTAAATGAGGAGTCACTACCACGCCACTGCCCACAACCGCGATTACAAATTTGTTTTTATTGCAGGGACAACTCTTCTGCCTTCCCACACGCAAAGAGAAACAGTTTTGGCACCACTTTGGATGGATAGCCTGTGCATGAATAATACAGTGCTTTCAGTCAGGCTGGGAAAAATCTATATAATACAAAGCAGGGTGTATTTCCTACTTTTGCTCCTGGGAGGAATACAAATAAGGTCTTCTACGGGAAGCTATACTCTAAAATGTTGTTGGGATCAATGCGATTCTGCCACTCGCTCTAAACCAACAGAAGTTTGCATCAAAAGGGCAGCGAATATATTCAGTTGTTTTCTTTAGTACATATCCTTGACTGCAGAAACCCCAATTCACTCTTTCGCACAAACTGAAACCTATAATAGAGACAACCTTCAGCAAGTAACTCCCTTTCAGAAGACAACTTTAAAGAGTTCTGGTGGATTCCTGTAATTTCAATTTAAACCTGCCGTTAGCAAATGTCTCCCTGAAGCAAATTTTTGCTCGTGTTCTGGATGCCTGCTTGAGAGAATATTCACTACATGCCTTTGTCTTTAATAAATTTGCAAGGCTAAACACTTAACGGGAAGGATATAAAAAAACAAATCAACTGAATATCCAACCTTAACTCTGCTCTTTTGAATACCCGCATTAAAACGGCATCTTCAGACCTTCGATTCCCATACAGGTTTCAGCCAATACTTGTCACATTTGTATCTGTGTGTATCTAAGACAAGAGCCAGCACAAAGAGATCTGCAGCCACCTTCTGCGTTTAATTTACGAGTTTCTGATGGTTCAGTGGGTACCCTTGGTTTGAATTACCACGATTTTGAAAACTTAAATCCCATCCTACCTTACCCATGAAATTTGCTTTGGACTTTGCCAAAGCGTCTGAGAACAGTAAAAGATCCTGCAACTTTTGGTGAGCACCCAAAGATGGAAATTTCCAGTAACGGAGATGATATATTTTAGAAAGCGAGAAAACCTCATAACCAAGTGGTTCATAACAGTGTTTTACAGAACTGTAACAAAAGGCAACACTCCACTCTCCTGCAATTAATTCAGCTGTGCATATACCCACGCTCAAGACGGAGATTAATAGTGCATATCAACTACACTGTGAATAAAGCAAATTCAAGTGCCTTTCTTCACTGTCCAGCTGTTTCTTTGTGGGAGCTCACCCTTCCTTATGCCGATATCTGATGCTGGTGCCGCACCGCTTCATTGCCCTTTAGCCTCAGATCCCACGGGATTTGTATGCACTGCAATAGGGTTCACTCTTAAATCTCCACTTTGTCAGAGCAGGCCGGCTGCGCTAGCTTAATCGTCGGATTAACTAAGCACCTCATTTTGTTTCCCTTTGTTAAACCATCTTAATTTCTATATTTTTTTTTACTTTCCAAACACTGTGACCAGCAATGCGTCCGCTTTAGGTCTCATGGATACCGTAGAGGATGCATAGGGCATCCTTGGCATGGTACCAGCAGGGATGGGGAGAGGCCAGTGTCCTGGTTCCCCAAAGAAGTCTTCTGCAGGCAGACCGGCTTCCCCCTCCTCTCCTCCAGCAACCAAGAGCAATGATGAAGTTTTTAAAGGATGAGCTGTTAATAAAATTAAACAACCTATTGAGGTAAACTGCCTGGAAGCAGAGGGACTGATGACAACATACAAGGCTTCCCCTCATCCTTATTTCAGCATATACATGAGAGGACGGGAAACTCGTACGCGAGGGAAGAAAGGCCAGGGAAGAGCATGTGTGATAAATCAAGATGACCTGTGCTACGTTTAAGGCACTCTGACCGTGCCAGAGCAGGGCTGAAAAGCAGCCAAGTGTCCACATCAATACTGCAGAACGAGGTAGGAGGTCTCTCATGTACCCTTGGCAGCAGCTTTACATTCACTTACTGCTCCTCTCCCTTTTCTCTGCCAAGAAATTAGTGTCAATTATCCCTTCGGCAAATAACGCCAAGGAAAAAGCTCACTGGGAGGGTGCGTGGAGCTGTAGGAGGAGGGGGACACACCAAGCAACCCCCTTGGGAGCCCCCCCAGGAACACACTGACCCAACGTGGACCTACTGTCCTTTCTCACACCCTCTCGACCGCAGACCTCGGAGGGATGCTTTCCGTTGAGCGTCAGATGCTTGCAGAGGAGAAGTAACAAAATGAATTTAAACCGCTGCTAAGAGCAGCGGGCAGAGCTGTGGCTGTAGAGGAAATATCCTAAAAATATCTATTAAAGTGTGAACAGGACAAAGATGCAAATGCTCTAGGAAGAGCTGGCAAAACAAGGATTACTGCTTTGTCACGGTGTTGGACCAAAACCACATTAAATTGAACATCCATGAAAATGTTAGTGAAAACAATTACTGGGTAAAAAGCTTGCTGTATAACAACTCAATCTGCTACCTAATATAAAGCACTTAAAATACATATAGTATATTATATATACAGTCTCAAAACATGATACGCATTATAATGGAAAGATTATAATGATAGTATTCGCATCAGTTTCATTGCACCTTTGCAGATTCTTTCGGATCAGTAGATTTTTCTATGTATTTATGTCATATAGAAATTTCTATAATCCATTTGTTTTCTGTTCCTGCACTTGAGCCACAAGTCAGCCTGGAGACCGTGCTTAAAAACTGCATATAGAAACTACCCAGGCAGACAGATTTCCCCTTGACAAATTCAAAGAAATTCCTATTATGTTCTTATTTATAGAGAAAGAGAGAGAAGGTGGTTTGTTACTTCATCTTGCACCAGAATTTGTTCAACAATCATAACAAAATCGTGCAAGCACCAAAACAAGTAACCCACGTGGGCTTTTTCTGCAAAGGGAAGCCCTCTGAAATGATTTGCTGCCGCAAGAACAATAAAACCCAGCC